GAGTCCGGAGATGCTGGATCCCACCGAAACCGCTGCACAGAAACACAGATGGACACACGGACGTGCAGACACACAGCCCCAGCCCCGTGCAGGAGGGCTCCTCCGCACGTGCTCTACTATCTTCTGCCCCGAAATGTCCCCAGCACGTCTCCTTCGTCAGAGCTTGCTAAAAGCCATGGGGAACTAAGCCAGCCCAGGGTGTTCCTTGCGCCAAGGCTGCGTTCCTGCTCTGCCGGAAAGAGCCAGAAAATGAAACCGCCGGGTTAAGCCCGTTCCTGTCCCACTGCGCTCCTGCAAGACCCTGTACGTGCTGCAGACAACCACAGGCCAAACCTTAACATGTGCTCTTGCCTTCTCTCTCCTCAGCTTCCAGATCAGATCTGGCTTCTGCACGTTGCAGTTTTAAGAAGTTTCTCCCAAGGATGGGGATTTTGTATAATTTAGGCAGAGCTATGGCACAGGCCACCCCTCGGACCGGCTGCCGCGGGATGGGGCTTCTCTGGTAGCGCCGATAGGGACACGGCAGCCGCCCATCCCAGGGATGCAAACATGGAAAGACCCAGAACATCGAGGTTTGGAGAGTCCCTGCCCAAACGCAGAAATGCAGGCACCGCAGATCTGCTAGGAAGGGAGGGAGAAAAGGCTCCGAGTCCCAAAACGATTTAAAAACTCCATTAAACCAGCTGCTGTTCTCCAAGCCAGCAGGATCGCTCCACGCTGCTGAAGAGCCCATTCAAGCTGATTTTGAAGGGTTTACTCATTAAAAAGGAGCCACCAACCAAGCGAGCACTTGGTTCATAGAAAAGCATCCAGGGAGCTGCGGGAGCGAGCGGGAGGCAGCGCCTCTGCTCTGGCAGAGGTTTGGGCAAGGGCTTTTGGCCGCCCCTCTGCCCACACCTGGCTCCCACCCAGCTTTCGTGGGACACTGGCACTGCCGGGGGGTGTGTGTGTGTGTGTGTCGCTGGCAAGTGGTGCTTTGGGTCTGCTGCGTGAAAGGAGGCTGTGCTGGAGGGAAACCTCTTCCAACAGGCGATGGGGAGGCAAAAAAGCCCACCGCCCAGGACAGAGAGGTGGGCGAAGCTGCTGGCTCCTCTCTCCGGATCCTTCCTGCCGGTGCGTGCCAGCACCCCTGCCCCACAGCACCCCTGCCCTGCAGTGTCCCCTTGAGCCCCCATCCCACCCCCGGCCCAGAAGAGCATCTAAAGATGCTCTTTCTGAGCGAGGGTGCCCAGGACCCAAGAGGTGAGGGAGCGGAGCATCGTGAGCCACCACAGTGAAGGGCTTCCAGCTGGATACAGCCACAGGAAGGGGGAAACAACCAACACATGCAACTAAGTCAACATTTGGGAGGGCGTTGGGACCGCTTGAGGGCTATGTACAAGCAGGCGCTGGGCAGGAGAGTGCAGGGGCTGGGTGCTGCCCTGCTGGCCTTGGGGTTCACCCCACGGGATGTGTGCAGGGGCAAAACTGGGCATAGCTAGCCACCCACCGCCGAAACACAGGCCTTTGTGAGTGAGCAAGGGAGAGATAAGGATGCAAACGTCTCCCATGAGGCACAGCACTTCCTAGGACTCTCCTCAGGATGGTGGCCCACGGCTGGGGTTGCTCCCTCTGCATGGGGACTGCAGCCCGGCAGTTGAGACACGAGCTTAAAAACATACCGGGTGGACAAAAGCATCTGTGAATGACAAGTATTTCCCTCAAAACACTCCCACACCCTGAACAGCCACACATGCCACGCACCCAAGCCCCACGGTGGCACCAGCTCTGGTGGCAGGGCCAGCTCAGGGGACTCTGCCAGTAGGAGAGCTGGCAGCAGAGCCAGGGGGGGAGGCTGGGGGGGGGGTTGTGGTGCACTTCCAAAAGCGGGCTGGAAGACCAGGAGTGCTCAGTGGAAGAAAGCACAGCCAGGGTGGTGGGGCTGGCTGCCAGAAGGGCGAGGGCTCTGCTGGCACCCCCTGGTGCTGCTCCCAGGAGAGACAAGACGGGTCCCTTCGGGGGACAGATGCAGCTGGAAGATCTGAACATGCGCCCGGGTGCTCCCAAGGGACGGTGTTGGTCACCGGAGCCACGAGCAGCCACATTTCACGCTCCCGGAGCCCGCTAGCCAGCGAGGCTGCAGGGACACCTGAGGAGGGGGGACCGCCAGCGTTCCACTGCCACCCCACGCTGGCACCGCTGCACATTGCCCTGTCTGCACCAGCCAGGAACTGTGCCTTCCCCGTGGCGAAATGTCTCTGCCAGGGGAGAACCGTAGCCAAGGGGGGAAATGGCGGGGAGGGCAAAGGGGCAGGAAAATTTGTGCTGATTTAGAAAGGGGGTGCAGAAGACTGGGGCCATGTGTCCAAGGTGGGCTGATGCTGTCCCCCAATTCCTCTGGGCTCACCCCAGAGCTGCTGGGGGGGGGAAAGGTCTCCTGAAAGCCAAGTCTCTCGGCAGGAG